CAAGTACAAAACAGGCGCGACGTGCCAGAGGAATTAAAACGCGACGGTAGTCTTTTTCTCTGTTCAATTAATCAAAGATAACTACGTTAGATGAAAGCTAGCCGCTTTTAGCCCTCTTAACAGCTTTGTATTAAACTGAAATTGTGTGCTGCATTGATATTGAAACTTATTTCAGGGTTATCTCAAAACTTTCTCGAATTCAATCGAGAGCTTCGAGCCAAGAAAAATTTAATACTTGAGTAACATATCTTTCTATCTTCAATCTAAGGATTCCTGCATAAAAAAAGGGCCTTCCGTTTTTTATGAGACCTCCATTAAACTGACAACAACTGTCGAAGCAAATGAAATGAATTCTTTTTCATACTGAAGTCGACGTATAGAATTCAACAAATGAAACTACGATTTGATAAGCTGTGGCGGATCTAGGAAAATCCCGCACCGCACCCTTTACCCCTCCCCGCGTCGTTGGCCTTAGCAAAAAATAAAACTTGCACTCTACTTTGCCAGAATCATGATGTACATTCGCAGAATTTGAAACAAGCACCCTTGTCCTGGGTAGCTTTATTTTAATTTTTACTTAAAATGAGATTATTGTGTCTTCCTTTACTCTTCCCCCATTCCCCCTCCGTGTCAGTGTAAGGTCTTCATCGCACTGTCTTGCCTTTGTTGTTTTTAGTTACAGACGTATTATATCATTTGCAATCCAAAACGTGTTATCAGAACCGGAATTTACCTAAGATATATATCGGAATCTAATGTCACTGTACCCCAAAGCTGATAACTGTATAAAACTCATCAATGCATGCCAAACTAGTTAGTCGGAAGTGCAATACATGCATGTTTTCGCCCCACAGCCATCGGATTCGAGGGCTGTCTAGGGGCCTGACCATTTTTCGGTCTTCCACTATTACTTTTCTTTAGAAGCTACAGAGCTAAGAATATCCTTGGATGTTCGTCTGCAGTCAAAGCAGATTATTTTTATTGTAGTTTACCCTCTCAAATCAGAAGTCTGACTTCTGTCTAAAAAAAGACGCTAACCGATTTGAATCAGCGTAGAATTACCCTTTAAAAATGCGCACTTCTGTTGACCTAAAAAAAGCACGTTATCAGGTTTGAACAGCCGGGGTATTGCGTTGTGATTCAGTGCATGATAAGGCGTCACCTTAAACTCCGTGCTCATCGAATACTTCATCAGATGTTGGAAACCTTTTCTGTGTTCACACAATCATGGGTTCAGCTAACGGATCATCTCGCCTTCTCGTTTGCTGTTGCTGTGTAACTTTTATCAGTGTGCTTTTCTTTTGTGTCGGTTTTGTGAGATTAGAACTGGAGTTAAGATCTCATACGGAGAGAATCGTAGCACTGGAGCAACAGCAGAAAGTGAACGAGACAGTAAAGGATGCTCCACCCTTGAGCGAAGGTAAGCGCCTAATAAAACTGTGCACTCTATCAGCTGCTAGTGAACGATCTGAGTAGTCACATGGTTCGCCTTCCTTTCTTGCAGTTACCTCTCTAAGGGCTTGTCGAGAGTTTAATTACAAAATTTTACAAAGGGATAAGTTATCGATCACTGTGAGTTCATGCGAAAACTCAATCATGCAAGCGCACTTAAGACGATATGTTACACGTGAAGCTTTCAAATGAGCGACTTCCTTCTGCTTTTGCCATGTATTGGTTCGAGAAAAGCACGCAAAATATTCCAGTATTCCATGATGACAGATCTTTAAATTTTCGAAAAGTTCGCAACAACTCGGTCAGAATTTGGGAAAATAATCGCGGCTTTTAAATCACGTTTTTTTTTAATACGAACACAGTTCTGAAAACTTTAAGTGTTAGTACAAATATAATGAAGGAGAATATACATGCCGAAACAAGTGTACTCTGGAATTTTATCCAACATCATAAAACATCATAGGGCAGAACTAGCTGAAGACCGTGCTTTCTTAGTCTGTAAAACACCATTATTCACTTGGAATTCATGCGCTCTACGCAAAGGAACAACCAGTGCTTTATGATTGGTAGTTGGCTGCATTTTTGAGATTGGATAAGCAGACTCTGAAGTGATATTTTAGCCTTACTTGTGAACGCGCTTCGGCTCCAAACTCTGAGGTTTTTAAAGTTTCAGAGAAGTAACTAAGCCTACAAGGCTTTTGGGGTATCAAGTCGAATAAAATGAAGCAAAACGATCGAGATCGGAATGATTACAATCAATCAAAAGGTGTACCGCATAATCGATATTATGGTAGTTTCTTGAATTGGTTCTGAAGATGAGCGAAATCATCAAGTGAAGTAACACAAAAGATTAAAAAGACAGTGAGCAATACCACACCACAGCACAAAAAAGAACCAAGAAAAGTCTGAATCGTTCCGCAACACCAGAAAACACCTGGTATCAATGTTGAAACTCGGGAAAGTGCATTTGAAGTTTATTGTGCTAAATATGGCTCAGATAACAACGGGGTTGTTGTTCTATGATGTTATTCTTAGTAGATGATTTTTTTTAACAGACATGCATGAGACACACTAAAGACACCGCCATGTTATAAATGTGCCGCACTGGCTCACGGCTCCCCCAAAAATTAACATGACTTCGGTTACCTATTTTTATTTTTAAGGAAATGCTCATTCCTTGAGTATGAACTCGAAGCAGTTATCAGCTCATCACAGTAGACGAATTGTTCGGGCGGTTACACCCACGGAAGAAGCAGAAAGCTCTTTAGCTCAAGAGATACAAAAACAGATCAACAAGGCTGTTCACACGAGCACAAGAAAACTCTGCACCAACAAAGGACAGATTTGTGTTCAAGGTCCTCCCGGGAAAACAGGACCACAGGGACTTCAAGGGCCAATGGGACCCCCCGGTATGAAGGGCCAAAAAGGGGAACCTGGAGAACCGACTTCAACATCTCTGCAGCTATTCAGGGGGGAACCTGGAAGTATTATTTCAACCCCCGAGATTTTGGTCAAGCCCGCAGTAAAAACTGTAACATTGAATGAATCGGCTACGTTTCAGTGCTCACCGGAGAGAAAAGTTAACGCGAAAATATCATGGGCTAAAGAAGGTGGCTCTCTTCCCACTGGACGATATTCTATTGTGAAGGGGACTCTACATATCAAGAATGTGATCGTTGGAGACAACGGGATGTACGTATGTACGATCCGAACTGACCAGGGAACCGCGCAGGCTACAGTAACACTCAACGTCAGAGGTATGAGCAGAAAAATTCAGTGTCATTTTGAACATAACACGTCCTCCATTAATAAAGGAAACTGACCCTCGGTTAACACAAAGGGGTCACTGACTCCTCAAAGAAGCGCCCCATTCCTAAATGGAGGCCTGATCTACCAAAGAAATGATTAGTATAGTCAATTAATTGACGTAACAGTAGCCTTGATTAAATTTAATACCTGCAATCATCCAAACTGCAATCTACGCCGCGCTCTGATTTTTCTTATGCTACAAAGTAGCCAAAGTAATCAAGTTTCATCACGCTGTATCATAATGCTTTAATTAGTGATTACGCGACTAGTTTTTTTTTCATTCATCTGAAAATTCAACCCTGAACCGTTCAATGTTCGTAAACTGACCAAGATTCAAAATGTACGAGGCGGTTTGTAGTCAGAGCCGGACCGTATAATAAAAAGCGCGGCTTAAGACGTTGAAGTGACTGATGGGTAAAGGGTGTAAAATCTGCATCTTACGATTATGACAATTTGAAAATTTGCTTAAGTCAGTTCCTTTTTGCTCATGTACGCTGTAAGTTATCTTCGAGAACTGTTAATTAAGTAACTGAAGAGGTCATAGTTTTTTTTCTCATTTCAGCAGTTATTTTACGTTTACACCTACCTACCAACGTTAAACAAATCAGCCTTAATTGGATTGAAAATGCCACCATGTTACATTAATAGACTTTCTGGTCTTCTCGGATAAGGACGAAAAACCGTAGGTCGGCCGTCTCACAGCACACACTGGTTCTTTTGGGACGTAACCCACACAACTGTTCGAAACAAGGTAGATTAGGGAACGTAGACCCTGGTGGTGTGGCCAACCTTTCCTGGGCTGGGTGGGTAATATCTGTTAGTGATCATGATCTTAATATAGGGATAACCTCATGATCCTTCTTCAGGTGTCGTATGTAATGGCTACCTGTAAACAGCCATGTGAGTGTGTGTATGTAATGTGCCTTATAAAAAGAAGGGAATTTTACACCCCAAAACAAAACGCATGGAAACATTCAGAACGTACAGATAACTGGAATGTTTTGACCTTGCATTAGACAGGGTTTTTAATTTAAAAGAAGGAGACGAAAGTGCACGTGAACACACGCTGGTAAACATCAGTTGTTCTCGCTGTTTTGTTTTGTTTTGTTGCAGCTCGTCCAGACGTTTCTCTTATCACTGGTCCAATATACGCTGAGAGCGGGAAAAATGTCAAATTGCCTAAATGCCAGATCATTGGATATCCACCTCCAGTAATATCTTGGACTAAACTTTTTGACCAAATTCCCACTGAAAGAGCAGTTGTCGAAGGTCAAACATTGACCATAGTAAAAGCTAAGAAGAAGGATGCCGGAACGTATATTTGCTCTGCTACAAATTTTATGGGCACTTCGCACGCAATGACAACCTTAATCATCAATATAGTGCCGCAGTTTACTGTTAGGCCACCCAAGATGATAGAGCGTTATCTTGGACAGTCAGTTACATTGAACTGCTCTGCAGATGGACACCCAGTACCGAGTATCACGTGGTCACGTTGTAAAGGACACATTCCAGAAGGGCGCGCACAAGTNTTGTTCTCGCTGTTTTGTTTTGTTTTGTTGCAGCTCGTCCAGACGTTTCTCTTATCACTGGTCCAATATACGCTGAGAGCGGGAAAAATGTCAAATTGCCTAAATGCCAGATCATTGGATATCCACCTCCAGTAATATCTTGGACTAAACTTTTTGACCAAATTCCCACTGAAAGAGCAGTTGTCGAAGGTCAAACATTGACCATAGTAAAAGCTAAGAAGAAGGATGCCGGAACGTATATTTGCTCTGCTACAAATTTTATGGGCACTTCGCACGCAATGACAACCTTAATCATCAATATAGTGCCGCAGTTTACTGTTAGGCCACCCAAGATGATAGAGCGTTATCTTGGACAGTCAGTTACATTGAACTGCTCTGCAGATGGACACCCAGTACCGAGTATCACGTGGTCACGTTGTAAAGGACACATTCCAGAAGGGCGCGCACAAGTGGAGAGTGGACAACTAAAGATAAACAGTTTGACAGCTGAAGACAGTGACACCTACACCTGTAGAGCTCAGAGCGAGTTAGTTCACGTGGAGACTGAAGCAAAAGTTGTCGTCAAAACTGGTAAGAAGTGATAATTTATAAGAGGTTCTTATAAACGTGTGTTCTATTTCATCCCGATAATGTCATAAAAGGACGTCACCTCATCAATATCATTATTGGTGTTGTAGACGATCGTTGTGTCTATGATTCGATTCTCAAAAGCTCTTTGGAAAGTGTGCCTGTTCTGTTTACTACAATATCGACTGTACTAGTAAAATCTCTAGTTTTTTTGGTGTCCTCTTAAGATAGAATATAGCATCAAATCTAAATGGTAAGACCACATTCTGAGGACTTACACCCCTTTTTTTCTGGTTTTATAAGAATTGACATACTATTTCAATCATGCAGCTGTGAAGGTTTGAATGCCAAAAGTAATGACCAGGTTTTAACACACGGTTTTTAGTTGTGTTTCTTCTCCGTTTTAATTCGTTTTGCATTGTTTCGGGTTGGGTGAGATGCCAAAAGCAGAAAAATCCGTTTTTGAAAAAGAATAAGTCATTTTAAAAAGCTATTTCCTTCCTTACTTTATTCCCTCTGAATGAATCTCTCTTTTACAGCAAGGGACTGTGCCGAGTTGTTTTCAGCCGGCTTCAAAGAAAGCGGCGTGTACACAGTAAACCCAACCAACAGATCCAGTTTTGACGTGTACTGTGACATGAAGACGGATGGCGGTGGATGGACAGTCTTTCACAAACGCTTTAATGGGTTTGTCGGATTCTTCAGGGGGTGGGACGAGTACAAAAATGGCTTTGGAGACGTTAGAGGAGAGTTTTGGCTTGGAAACGAAAAAATCCATCAACTGACGGAGATTCCGAGCCAGCTGCGTGTAGAGATCAACACCACGTCCGCCGGGTATAAATACGCCAAGTATAGCAATTTCACGGTCACTAATGAAGCATCTAACTACACATTGTTCATTGGGTTTTATTCTGGTACAGCAACTGACAGGCTGGCTTATTATAATGAAATGGCTTTTACTACTAAGGACCGTGATAATGACAAACACAAAACTGTCAACTGTGCTGTGAGTAACAGAGGAGCCTGGTGGTACAAAAGTTGTACGTCCGCTTCAAACCTGAACGGCAACTATGGAGACAGCTCTTATTATTCTTGGAACTGGTATCTCCACGGAAGTGAAATGAAACTGAAGCCAAAGCTAAAGGCCAAGTGACAGCTAGTGATTACTTGACAAGGGCTCTCTGCGGCAACTTGTTTAAGACAATTGATTTCCCTGAAAATCTGATAGTTATTATGCAACCAACTGGTTCACAAGTTGCCTTTTACATATTTCTGTTAAATTGGGAATTTGTTAACGGTTAATCAAAAACTAGAATCATCCTATAATGGTCTCGATTTAAAATAATGTAGGCGTCTTAAGGCAGGAAATTCTTCGTTTGAACACCCAGCTGTAAAAAGACTGAAAATTTGTTGTATAGGTTGTCAATATAGACGTGATAGCCTTCTGTACGTTTCTACTTAAGCCGTATACTAACAAGAAAAAAATGCTCTTTAGAGTGTCAATGTATTTAGCCCGAAAGTACTAATAATTGGGGACACTATTTTTACTTCTCCTACGGGAGACGGGACCGCCATTCTACGTGACCATCCGAGCCACGCGAAGATCTCACCATTTGTAGGGCAAGGGCAGTACCTTCATTTCTCAGTCATTTTAAAGACCTTGAGTTTTGGTCCGGTCCCGGGAATCGAACCCGCGACCTCCCGCTTTGCAGTCAAGCGCTCTACCGACTGAGCTAATCCTGCCGCAGTATAATGGATCTAGAGAGGTCAATAAGATCTGCTAAGTTTAGCCGATTTAAAGTTATTGTTGCTCAAAGCGTATGGAATAACAGTACCAGTAGGCGAGTAATTGTAACTTCATAGAAACTTCGATTGTTCAGTTCCTAGCCTCTAATTATTATGGCCACGACCCGAGGGGGCAGGGGGCACTTCCTAGTTTGTTTGGCCTAAACGGATACATGAAACTGAATCGAACAGGGTTTTGTTTTCAGGGTATTGGGTCTTAGATAGGGTGTAAAATTGTGTAAAACAGGGTGATTTTCGTACCGAGGCCCTTAAAAGAGTGTAAAGTTTAGCATTGATTGGTCTACATTTGTAGTACTAACAATTCTTCCCCCCCCCCCCCCAAAAAAAAAAATCCTAAACTATTTTTTTTGGTTAAATAAATTTTTTTTTTTTTTTTGGGAAAAAAAAAAAAAAGGGGCAAAAAAATTAATTTTTTGTTTTAAAAGGGGGGGGCAGAAGAAAAAATTTTGGTAAAAATTTTTTTTAGAAAGCCCTTTCACTAAATAAAAGTAGCCTTTGTGCCCACTCTTTTTNATCAGCTGTTCAAAGGGGACTTGGGCGCGCAGGCCATTGGTCCAGTTAGCGCTACTGCCACATTAAAAACATCATTTTTATTTATTTAAAAAGATACTAAATAGAATGAACGCCACTTTCATTCTGGTATCTTTTGTAAAGTTCAATCAACTCCCGGGAAGTTCTAGGTTTCACTGCCATAAAAGCTGAATCGAAGTGTCGCCTGTGTACTTCACACGACTCAATGTCTTCTTGTAGCGCAGCTAACGCTGCTTCGCGACACAAAGCAGAAATTTCAGCGCCCGAATACATTTCTGTCCTTTCTGCAAGATCTTGCGACACTACATCGTTTCCGAGGGGAGTTTTGGCAAGCTGAATTTTAATAATTTCTTTTCTAGCTTCTGTATCCGGGAGTGGAACATAAATGATTCGGTCTATTCTTCCAGGGCGGAGTAAAGCCTTGTCAATCATATCAGGACGATTCGTTGCCGCCACCATTATGACGTCTTTAAGCGTTTCAACACCATCTAATTCTGTTAGCAACTGCGTTAGAACGCGATCTGACACGCTGCAGGCGCCACTGTCTCCACCGCTGCCACGAGGAGCTGCAAGGGCGTCTATTTCATCGAAGAAGACGATGGAGGGCGCTGCTGCTCGGGCTTTTTGAAAAACCTGGCAAGAAAATGAACAAAAATGTGGTTAACTTACACTTTCAGGTAGACGAAGAACCACTACGTGGATGTGCTACCTGCAAATCGTTATTTATTTATCTTTCTCAAACGAACCATAAGGAAACGACACAATCTTTATCAAATGAGTTAACAAAGAAAGGTAGCCACCACACTGAAAAAAGGAGAAAAAAAGGAGGAAAAAAATGAAAAAAGTCGACGTTTCGATTTCTAGCTTGTCTAAGAGCGAGGCCAGCAATTGAAATTTCTGTCTGAAGAAGGTGGTTTGGATGATATACTAAGGCCCGTTCAAACGTCGAACTAGGAAAAGCTTACCTGTCTGACAGCTCTCTCAGACTCGCCAACCCATTTACTAAAAAGCTCAGGACCCTTCACGGCTAAGAAATTAAGTCCACTCTCTGTAGCCAACGCTCGTGCTACAAGGGTCTTGCTGCATCCTGGAGGTCCGTACATCAGGATTCCCCTTGGAGGGCTGATACCAAGCCGCTTAAATGCCTGCAAAAAGATCAAATCAAATCAAAAACATGCAATTTGATGGTCACGAGCTAGCATACCGACCGGGCAAGCACTTTAACGATCTATGTTTTCTGACTGGCTGAACGGTAAGATTCACATAAGTTGGCACTGCCTTCCTTGCACATTTTGCAATACAGAAGCAGAAAATATAATCTTACCCAGACCTCACTCCTCACTTGTCCCCAGCCCGCGTCTTATCATTTGCAGGCGGTCAAGGAAAGGCCACGGGAGGCTACTACAAGGCGCGGCGGAGGCTCTCCCACGCGCATCTTCCAAGCGGGAAGAAAGACAACTGGGGAAGGGTCAGTCCCCACAGCGCTGTTTGAAAAGTGTATAAGGGAAAGTTCACAGTGCTGTGTTTGGCTTGCCTTGTTATTCCGTTCGTTGATGAGGTAAAAAAATTGTAAATGGCTTTTTTACCCACGAAGCACTTAAGAGTTCACATGAACTCGTTTAAACGTGTCCGTGCGTTCCAGATCGAATTGGAATTTGGAAGTGTTGGTTTTTGAAGAGAGGGGAAAACCATAGTACCTGGAGAAAAACCTCTCGGAGCAAGGGAGAGAACCAACAACAAACTCAACCCACATATGGCGTCAACGCCGGGATTTGAACCCGGGCCACATTGGTGGGAGGCGAGCGCTCTCACTACTGCGCCGCCCTTGCCCCCTTGAAAGTGTTAAAGTGAAAGTGTTAAAGGAAGGGGTGGGTAGGTTGTTATCCTCACCTCTGGGTGTTTTAGGGGCCATTCCACTGCTTGCATTAGTTTTTGTTTGATAACAGCGTTTCCTCCAATGTCATCCCAACGAACCTAAAATATGGTTAACAACAAAACAAAATATGTTGATTACCAATACAGTGGAACTTAAAAATCAAGACTGCAAAAAAGTATATTACGATCGACAGGAATAGTGCCGTTGTGTGATACATGCAACACAAAGAAAGTTTAAGGCAAACATGGACAGACAAGGTGAGTGTAAAGTGAGGGAAAGTTAACACTCCCCTTTTTCTTCCGTGCCAATTCAAGGCCTATCATGTGGCTAGCTAGTATCGCACTTCTCTCAACTCTCTTATTGCCACTTTGTGACTAAAGGAACAGCGACTAAAAAACTGCATAGAAAAAACTAAAACTGACATTCTGATCGTTAGTCTTAGTCACAACAAACAAGGAAACAGTGAAATGCGCGTGTTTCATATCAAGCTACTCTCACCCGGCAAGGTTCAATCACACTCAAGGGTACCCACCTTAGGAACATCGATGGCAACTTCTCGCATAGCACTGGGTCCAACCTGCGCAAACGCGGCGATGACGTCATCTCTTGTAACCAGAAGGCTATCCTTGAGAGTCTCTTCGTCGACTGTACTATTAAGAGATGACGTCATCTCCTGCTTTGCTAAACAGCGTTTGAATGCCTTTAACCCCGCCTCTTTACACACGGCAGCAAGATCAGCTCCTACGTAACCATGTGCCATTTCTGCAAACCTGTCAAAGAAAACAGACAAGCTTTAGAGTATGATAGACGTTATAGGTGCACTCATGTCCGGGTGCTGAGAGGGCATAAGTTATTGAGTAATTTAGCTGAAGGATATGGTCTCGAGCAAGGTACTAACCACCTACAATCGACCCCTATCGAACCCAGAAGTACTTAATCTCTTAATCTCTATTTTAAGTTATAATATATAATTTTATAAGGGGGCTGGGTTAAGTTTGTGAATTTTGGAGTTCAACATGTTTAACATTTATTTATGTGTACTTAGATCTAAACTATTATTGACAGCCCTGACACGTGCAATGTGAAAAGCACAGACAAATTCGTTATTGACCAAGCTTGTTTGGTGAGGATGGTTGTATACTGGCCAAAGTTTTTTTGGTTCGCGTTTTTGGCTCGGAAAACTTCATTGTATTTTTTTCACCAGAAAAGTTAGCACAGTTATTTTTATTGAAGTAGGTTAAACCCTTTCCCGAGGGCAGAATCGTAAAACGTCTAACATTTGATAACCTGTTTCCGCCACTACGAAATTTTCGTAGAAGAATGACGACGGCTATCACGTTTTCCCGCCAAACTGACGCTGGTTCACGCGCGCGCACTACTTAGTATTAATAAAATCGCGTTCTCATAGTCGTCCTTGTCTTAGAATCTAAAGGACTCTAATATCGCGGAAAAAAAAGAAAAGAAAAGAACGAGGACACATTAAGTCATCTTGAGCGAATAAGCTCAAGTTAGTCATTAAAGGATTTATTATATGGGCAAAGCAAAATCTGTTTTGCGTGAAACGGGTGTGATGAACCCTTCTTGTCCGCTCAAGCGGCCAATCAGAATGCAGTATTATCTTCATCTTGCCCGCTCCGCGCGCGTGAAACCAGCCATATAATACATCTAATTCTTACCCAACATCCCTTATTTATTACCTGGCAAATTCCTCCTCCGTGAGGCTATGTGTCACAGTCCTCAAAAGCGTTCTCAGAATATCCTCACGATCAACAGCATTAGGGATGCCGATCTCAATCTCTCGGTCCAGTCTCCCGGGTCTGCGGAGGGCTGGATCCAAGGCGTCTGGCCGGTTGGTGGCCGCCAATACAAGCACGTGACCAGATAAGAAATTCTAGGAGAAAAAAAACGAGACAAAGCGATGTTTCATGTACAGGTTTGCCTGAGAAAACAACCGACATTTCGCGACGCCACCACTGGTGTCCTCGCGAAAATTATGACGACTGAGAAACGAGCGTAGAGAATTAAACATTGATGTAGCCTGCGAGCAAGCTTTCCTCTGCCCCTCGAGGCTTCGCCGCTCGCTCGCGCGTTCTCGCGAGACTCGTTTCACTCGCCCAAATAGGAGAGCTTGCTCGCAGGCTAACATTGATGGAGCGTTACTACCCAGAACTGGGTAGAGCTTCTGATGGGTTGAGACAAAAAGTGTTGGGATTTACTTGCTGACTTAAGGTCAACTTACAGCTGAAGTAGCTCCGTCCATAAGGGTAAGCAAGGTGGCCACGACTCTCTTCTCAAACTCGTTCTGTACTTTGTCCCTCTTGGGACATAAAGCATCAAGCTCATCTATGAATACAATACTAGGAGCCTTCTCCTGGGCCTCGCGGAATATGTCCCTCAGACGAGCCTCTGTCTCACCGTAATACCTGTCAGGAAAAAATTGAAAGAATTGCTTTGAATGCGATACATAAATTTGATTTAAAGTTTATACAGTGGACATCAACCTCACGACCACTCTATTGACATGTCACCTGCGAGAGCATCCGGTTAGCGACGACCGGAAATACGTCTGCGGTTCGCAGGCTAATTGACATGACCACTTTGGAATTATGACCATAAATCTTGTGGACCTGACGGATCAATTTTAGATTTCTGGGAAACTGCTCACCTACCCCTCCCCTAAGCTAACATTAACACTCACTTCTCACTTAGGGCAAAATGATGACTTAGGGGAGGGGTAGGTGGGCAGTTTCCCAGAAATCTAAATTGCTCCGACCTAACTTCACGAACTCAAGTCAGCGTTACCGACAGAAACCTTGATAATTTGACCAGGTTTTCCTTGGCCCTTCGGCGGTCATAATAACAAGGTTTCACTGTAAAAATAACTCTTTTTAAGATGCAAGAGCAGAAAAGCTAACAATCACATATCTTGGTATAATGAATACATGTACTACAGGCACTGTTATTGGACGTTATTAGCTATGATCAATTTACGTACAGACACGCGGATGAAGTTAGGAGAAAATTATTTTCTTTGTTTTGTCCAGCACAGCATGTAGTTGTGTTGTAAAAACATTAGTGGCACACTCGCTTGCAGTTCGTGTGCCACTTTTTGGTTCTTACCACATTATGCTGCCATCTGTGATCTAAAACTGAACAGGTGCATGACAACATGGAATCTTCTTGTTAAATAGATTGAGATGATATTACGGACCTACTTAGAATATCAGGGCCGTTGATACAAATAAAGTGTGCACCAGACTCCCCAGCCACAGCTTTTGCAATAAGGGTTTTCCCTGTACCTGAAGGACCATGCAGCAGAATTCCACGTGGAGGTGGGATGCCTGAAATAAATAACACATGTAATAATGACAAAAGTCACACAAAAATAGCTAGACTCTAAGGAATGTATAGAGGAAGTAGTTAGTCTTTTGGTCAACTTAAAACAAACAGAGAGAAAATAGCTAACGCACATAAAAGCAAAGACCTCCGGCCCTTTAACTTTCGTGCCTACCCGGTTTCAAGTTACTGTTGCTAACCCAAGTAAACCTTACCTTAAAAAAAAATAGCAGTAGTTCTAAAACTCTTACATTAACTTTAGGTTGACAGCTAAACAGGACGCACTTGTAGGTCACTGGCCATTTAAATCACATTAGCAATCTATTACGCTGGTCAACTGGTGTTCCTCATAAGACCACCTTAACTGCTAATAAAATAACATTCTAACAACAATTTTTTTAAAAACTGCAATAAAATTAATGCTAGATGATGTAAATGTTCATTTTCTTGTTTTCCTTGGTTTAAATTTTCTCTTTCTTTGTTCAAACTCATTATCATTCACATACCAAAAAAGCTACCCTTTCTCTCAATGGCAATAGCTTTTAGCATTGCAACTGTCAGAAGGTAAGTGAATGCCTTTACAAATTCTAAAAGCCATGCCAGAAAGAAACATCTGCTCGCAGGGTAGCAAGCAAAAAAAATTATGCCAGGGATATAATTATTTTACTTTTAACAGAAAGTACCAAAAAGAGCACCCTACTAGCCTACAAGCAGGCTCCCTGGGGCACTCTGGCAATGAGGCAAAACAGGAGGGGGAGGGCCCTGCAAAGCTTTCCCGCAGGTTACATCTCATAGCAAAAACTGAATATTATCCACAATACTTACCATGACTTGTGAACATCTCTGGGTGTTTTAATGGAAGCTCAATCATTTCACGCACTAGTTTAACCTGTTTCTGTAGTCCTCCGATGGAATCAAATGTCACTTTTGTCCTTGAGTCATTATCATTGCCATGACTTGATCCATGTGCATGAATTAATAATTGTGTTTCTTCAGGAGATATGTAATAAAATACTGATTGACTACCATCTTGATTACATTGTTGAAATTGAAGTTCTATGCTTGACTCCACCTCAAGCTGCTGAGTTTGATTATTCAATCCTATAGTTTCTGCTTTACTTCCACTTCTGCCGAAATCTTTCTCATGACTATTTGGTTGGCAAGTAGATGTGACTTTCTCACTATGTATAGAATCATCATCCTTTGAAAAAGACAACACCACTTGTGTATTGTCTGTTGAAGTACTGTTTAGCTTTAAAGCTTCCAGATGGTTTTCAAGTTCCACAGTTGTACTACCACAAGACTGTGTTGAAGAAATTGGTTTCTTAGATGTGGGATAGGATCCCCTTACTGATGTAACTAAAAGTTGTCTTTGTTTGCCATAGAACTGAACTTGTACTTTGTGTCCAGGAAAAACAAAGTGGTTGCCTGATAAATGAGTGTAATTTACAATATCAGATCAACAAATAAAGAACCCAAGACAACAGGCACAGCAAAGCAGAGCAAATCTAGTGGGGGTTCAGGGATTTTGGGGAAGCCAAAAAAAAAAACACTTAAGGTACTGCAAAAGGTCATGTAGTCAGAGGTGATTTAATTTTTGTTTGTACTTACCTAGTTCATGGAGACAATATTCAATAAACAGCTGGTTTATATCAAATTCAACAGCAACGCTGAAAGCAGGATACAAATCAACATAAATACATTGTTTTTTATGTATGGTTACATGAATCACATACTGAATTAATTTGCTTGTTAGTTTATATCTCACCACAACTCAAGTTCCACTTGCGCAGCATGCAGACAGAGTTGTTTTAATGGAATAATGCTGATGATATCTCCCACTGTAAACTAATAGAAAAACAAAATCATTTCTTTTATAGTTTTTATTTATTAATTACCATATTTGTTTGATTAAACGCCCAAACTTAAATTAGCACCCAACTCGAATAAGTGCCCATCCTGTATGGAGGAAAAATTATAAAGCGCTCAGCCTCTACTGCTACTGACAATATAAATATACCATCATTATTATATAGATACTGACGAAATACCAGAATTTTTCCTTTTACTGAAAAATCATATCTTCATCGCGTGCAGTGAAGATACTATTTTTATCTTTCACGTGTGAGGATATTGGTGTCACCATGGATACTAACATGATTAGCCAATTACAAGAGAGCTTCCCGCTCTATTATTCTCTATTATTGTCTTTATTTCTCCTTTATAACTTTATATCCAAGTTTCATAACATTTTTGTGACAGACATTTTGCCATAGGTGACCACTTTATTGCACTTTTTTGCTGTTTCGAAAATGAATTTAAAAAAAGGTTGTGTTTTATGTAGGAATTTCATGAGTATCTATAAAATAAACAGAACAGTACATGGCCGCTTGGGGATATGAATTTTATCTTTGAGTGCTGAAAGTATCTCTCACTCATTCGCTTCGCTCATTCGTGAGAGATACTTTCAGCACTCGAAGATAAAATTCGTATTCCCGTGCAGCCATGTAATATCCTCTATTTTTACCAGCCCTTACGAAAAAATTAATTCATAGTACAACTGTACCTTTGAACAGCTGCTTCTTATCTGTTACAGTGTACATTGTGTATATTTATAGCTCCAAAGGTTTGTGTATAATCGGGGTGGAAAGAAAATCATTTTTTCCCGCTTGCCATTCGGGCAAGCTGAAGCTAGCATTTACCAGCTCAAACGTCATTTCAACTAGCCCCAAAAGCTTTTTGACAAGCAGAATTGATTCCACAGTTCCCCATCAATTTGAATTTCTCAAAAAACATCACTTGCCCATCGGGCAAGTTAACCCTTTCAGTGCCAAGTGTGAACAAGGGCAAAAGTAAAAACAAATTCCCAAATTTGGTTTTCCAAAATTTTGGAATCAAATAGCACCATTTAAAAGTACAAGTAGAGAGTTTTCATTTGAATGGTCACATCATAGGATTTTGTCCACAGACTCAAAAGTCATAACTACCTTAAGGGACTCCAACATTCACTCTGGCTGAGTGAAAGGGTTAAGAACAGAATTCACTAGCCTGAAAGCAAAATCCACTGGCCCATGGTTATTGGACACTACTTTCTTTGCACGCTGATAATATTGCAAATAATTATGTAAATATAGTAAACACTGATCATCACTGGAAACAAAACAATTCAAGCCATAAAACAATAAACAAAGCTTTCTTCATACCTGGCCATTGAGAAGAGACAGTGGTGTTAAAACAGCACCTACAAAAATAGTAAGATAGCAGTATAACCTTACTCTGCTTACAGTGTATGATTGTATAGCTTAGCCAACTGTTTTTTGAGATTTCCTCAAAAGATATAGATGCCAAAAGTCCACTATTAATGCATATCAAAAGGAGCTAGTCTAACCAGTGACGTTGAACTCAGAAGTGACCTGAATAGATCTAGTCTATAGAAAGAAGTAGAGGTAGAAAAAACTTATTCAATTTGAAAGAGCTACTCAGTGATTGCTCAATCATCCAAGCTAAAAGCTCAATTTAAAAAATGCTGGACAACCTAATATAATACAAAACAAAAGAAAATTAATATTGATAACTATGAACAAAGAAGACCTTACAAACTTGAAAAGATAAAAATAATCTTAGATAGATCAAATTCTACACTGGTGTAGAGTGAAAAATTAGACATCCTGATCTAATTTCAAGTAAACCTATCAAAATATTCAAAAAAGCAAGAGAGCTACGACGCCACAACAATTTCATGGGTCAGGGCAAAAGTGTCCTTTGCAATTTTGCGAAGCACCCTCCTATGCCTAAGGGGATCGAGAACCCCGATAAGGCGGAACTTAGATGTTAAGGACAGGGATCTAGAAATAGAGAAGGGTCAAGCAGGACTTCCCTAGACTCAACAGCTATAGATGCTTTATTAATTGTCTTTATTTTATTTTATTTTATTTTATTTTATTTAAACAGTTGAAAGAAACTTTTGAATTTTAGAGGCTGACAGATTTCTTTTATTGAAATGAAATGTTTTTAATTTGAATAAATTTTTCTTAGTTAAATGAACTCTTTCTAAGCTAAATTAAGTGCTTTTTAAATCGACAGGAATTGTAAATTAATATTGTTTTGAATGAATATTTTTTTCTTTTTTTCAAGTAAATTAATCGTAAATAGGATTTTAATAGTTAGTATTGTTGTCAATAAAAATTTTTTCATTATTATAAAAAAAAAATCAAAATATTCAAAAAACTAGTCCTGAGAATACGTCAAAAAATAATGGAAAACAATAAAACTACATGCAGACTCAAACCAAAGTCATTTTGAGAAAAAAGTGAAACTTGGCAAGAATACCTATAAGGGATACTGAGATTATATACTAGTTGGCTCAGCTTGACATTTTTATAATCAAGAGAAATTGAAGGGAGCCCAGTGCTCTGAACGTGAAATCCAGTGCACCCAGGATATGATTTCTATGAAAAGTCTAACATTTTCTAGTCACACATCAGGTGCAAAAGTTAAGCACCAGGGGCCACCAGGCACTGCTGAAGCACAGTCCTTAATAATTATAATTACTTTCAAAATTACAATTCACAGAACAGTTTTTCAGTACATCATGATTCACGAAAACCAAAAATGGTAGATCGCGGCGTCACAAAAATAAATGTAAGCTTGCCCTGTCTTCTCTCATAGGACAATGATTTGAGAAACTGAAGACAAAGAAAAATTTTAACCACGACAACTGTGCAAACAGCAGGTGTATTGAGTTTTGTATGTGATAGTATATACTTACACTCAGGTGATACTCCTGAAGCGGGCCATACCAGGCACACTATCTGAAGAAAACAGACAAATCATGTTATTCATACCAAGAAGAGAGTTGATCCAGAAAGATGGGATCTTGGGTTGGAAAGTTTGTGGAGTAATGAACGATGACAACATTTCACGGTGTTAAACTAAACCAAGAGAATTGCATACTTAAAAAAAAAATCCTGGAACGGCTGGTTACCCACAGTAAAATTTATGGTAAAAGTGACCACTTAGTACCATTCCAAACAGAAGAATTGCACTTTTTAGACATGTTTTTCTCCAGCCTTACAGCTGATTATAACATGGGTGCCTACACATAAGAGGGCTCAAAGAGGAAGTCTGACATCTACATTACATGATAGACACTGTTGAGGAATACTCGGCTGGAGAGCATTAGAGACTGAGCCTTATGAGGTCAGTTTTCTTTCCATCATCTCCTAGGCATCAACCAGAAGTAATAAGAAAGGACGTAAGCATTGAAAGAGAACAATCCTGTGTGTACGGTATATTTTTTTGATATCAAAATCACCCAAATAATCCCTCTGTTACATTACTCTACCATTCTTGCACTATTCTCGTCCTCCATGAGAGGTGGCCGTTTATGAGAATCAAACAACAGGGAATCTCTTTCAAGAATAGGTTCATCCTTAAAGACTTTTTCAAAAAGAATCTATGCATCCAGTTTTTATTAAGCCATAATGCATATTATGTATGTTTAGTTCAATGTTGTCACTTATTATTAATAAGTCTATTTACATACTCTGGGTTATGTAATACACATAGTACAGTAACTACAGAGAACACACTATGTGTCAATCAACAAATTGCTTTTGAAAGGTTTGAAAAACTTGACAATATAATTACCGGTATATACCCCATATTCAAAGGAGCACAAAATGATAAAATCAATATACTTGAAATATGAAGGATTTATATTGCATGATTTCTGCCGACTTTAACATCATCATCATTATAATGTACGTGACAGAGCACTACATTATGTACATCTGTAAATCTTTGAACTTTGGGTGGTCCTTTGTATGAGGCTGTTCAACTATATCTTCAGCTATAATTATCCTCTAAAATATTATTCATGTAATAACTAAGAAACTCCAAATGTTTACCTTTTGAGATTTCTTTTCTGACTTTACCAACACCCTTTTGCCAATAGGCAGATGGCATTCCTTCACTGTATGGCTGTTAAGCAGTATAATATCATTTCTAGAGGACAGTGGTAACTTACTATCTGTTAGAGAAAATAGATAATTTAAATTTACCCATTCATGCCTCTGTCTTTAGAATGCCTCCTAACTACTAAATGCCCCCTCTCGGACCCCTTAATTTAATGACATGCCCCAGGCATCTATTAGGTCATTTATGGTAGGTGTGAGTGAGGGTCTGCAGGTGTGGATGCAGGTGCAAGTTCAGGTGCGAGAGTGTAGGTGCACTGTCTGATAACATCATTATGGGGCCAATTTATTAAAACTTTTACAGGTGTACACTGTAATTTACAAGTGGCTATTGTTTCCATACTTTACGAAATTACACTTGTAAAAGTTTTAATAAATTGACCCATGGTATTGCAGTTTGTGTTGCAATTTCATCAGGGGCACCTGAAAACAGTTTTCTGTAATATATCTCTATGGAGAAGCAAAAATTAATGGCCGAGAATTTTCTATAGCTTGAGGAAGGCTAAAAATTTCTAGATGACTGTTCTGGTCATGTACAATTTTTGAAGCTTACCTAGTACATTCCCCACGATTTTCTGAAGTTTAATTTTTCACATGTCACCCCTCATGTAGAGTGCTGAATGCAGAACACCTAATGGCTCTGAAGTTTGGTGTTAAGGGTTAGGAAACTAAGTGAATCAAGTTTCAGGTCAGTTTTCCAAGTATCAAGACCCTTAACAAAACCTGATTCACTTAGTTTCCTAACCCATTCACTAAACTTCAAGTCATTTGGCATTCTGCATTTGGCGTTCAGTGAACTGCAGGACACTGAATGACTCTGAAATTTAGTGTGATTAAGGTTAGGAAACTCAGTTAATGAAGTTTTAGGTCCGTTTTCCAAGTTAAATGACCCTAAATGGAATCTGATTCACTCAGTTTGCGAACGGCAACCACTAAACTCAGAGTCATTTGGCATTTGGCATTTGGTGTTCTGCATTCAGCGTTCAGCATTCTGCAAAATACCTCCTACCGAATTGAAGTCATTTCTAAGTATCTGATGGAACCTAATGGACCTTTAAGTCTTCGAAATGTTTTGGCTTGCTCTTTTCAATCATTTCTGCCAATTAATTGTTATAGGACAGTATGAGGCTGACAAACTATTAAAGACGTCATCAGACTACACATGCACAGCCAACCTCTACCTGTACCTCCATCCACACCTTTAGACCTGCACTGACCTGGAACTCTACACCTGCAAATGAGAGTGTAAACCCTCCCTCCAATTTCTGATTTCATAAATTAGCTCTGCACTTCTTGAGAAAACAATCCAATAACCAGTAAACACTGCCATATTGCTGGTTAAGCATTTTTCAGCCATGATTAATACAGGACAAAACACATGATCAAAAACAAAGAAATGCAACTGACACACTGATCATACAATGTAGGTGATTCAACAAACAAGTTATTGTACAGCGGTGTAACCTGACCAAACCTGTCAAGTAATCTACAGGCGAGTGGACTTAAGACCACCGATTCAACTGAATTGAATGCTAGGAAACGGCTGTGTATAAAAGTGGGATGGGGACAAGGGGACGGGGACATCGGGACGCGTGTGTGGGGACTTGGGACGTGGGACGCGAGACGAGGGACTTGAGGACATCAACTATGGGACGCGGGGACGTGTGGGACGGGGACGCGAGGACGTCAAATACAGGGACGCAGGGGAGGCGGGATGTGAATGATTATTGCAAAAGTCGCAGGTAAATGCGATATCAGTCACTTTCCTCGTGAATATGTTTTGATGAAAGGAAACCCACCCTGCCCTCCTTAGGGTTCCTCCATGCCTGTTTACGAAGAGAAGACTCGGCGAAGACCCCCTGCATTGAAGACAGTGAAACCGTTGTCCTAGTCTTCTTGCTGATGGAATATTGGAGCCAGTAGGGTAGGGTGGGTTGCGGTCGCCAAAAATTATGTAGAATAACCGCATTCGACTCCAAATAAATAAAAATTAAGTGGCATTAGCGAGCTTCGAATCCCGAAGTTCTAACTCCGAAATCCATCGCCTGTACCACTAAACCACGAGGGATTCAACTATTGCAGCAATATTTATTTTGTTCTACATTTTTAGTGGCAAACCTAACAGTAAATGCTTGCTAACAGTACTTAAAAGGTTGATTTCCACCGACGCGTTTTTGGCTATGCGCAAGTAAATTTTAATCACGTAAATAAGATAGGCAAGATATAAATTGTCGAGATTAAACGTGAAGTTGAGCGAGATTCTACTTTTACGCTTACGTGCGGCCTTTCAGACATTGCCTCTATTTTATGTGCGAACGTAAATTTTACGCACGTATGCATGGAAAAATTACGCGACAGTGGAAATCAACCCTAAACCTGATCACGATAGTCAGTGGGCTTTTAATACTTCTATTACAAAGAAATATTTTGTGTAAACATCATAAGGTGTCCAATGTGGTTTTGGAAGATGGAATCTAATGTTGACCATAAATAACACATTTTCACGAAGAAAGAGATGTCGCATTTACCTCCGACTTTTGCAATAATCATTAACATCCCGGGTTCCCTGCGTCCCAGTTTTTGACGTCCCCGCGTCCCATACTTGACGTCCCCAAGTCCCAAGTCCCCACACACGCGTCCCGATGTCCCCGTCCCCTTGTCCCCGTCCCACTTTTATACACAGCCCTAGGAAACTGCACGTGGTGTTAAGAGGAAAAGCAGTTGGGCATAAAAAGTTAACGTCAATGATAAATTAAGCAACTTCTTATCTCAAGGTTCCCAGATACCTAGTTTTTGGCTTTGCCCAAAGCTATTTCAAAGTGACGGTACAAGGTTTTCCTTGATTATCAATGCTAAATTTAAAAAATCCCGCAATGCTAAATTTAAAAAATCCCGCTTCAGGCGATTGCCTAGTGGCACTTACTTCACTAGCCTTGTGTCAAAACTGTCTTGAATACAAAAACTAAAATAACAGCCTAAAAGTAAAGAAGACGATTTCAAGTTGCGTCTTCACGACTTTTAGCTCTATTTCTATGTTAACTAACCTGACAGAATTGTTGATATATTCTTCTCGGCAACAACGGCGTGGAGGCAGCCATCTTGGATGAAAGCGTGGTCAGAAAGTGGCTGAGAGCACTCTGCTTCCGAATCCCGAGTGCAATTCACCAAGTGCTCATTGAGATGGCGAAAATAGAGAAGTCTACCACATAAATTACATAAAAGCCAATTTTCTTGCCTTTTCTTGCTCATTATTTTTCCGCCATCACTGGTCTCTTTCAAACGGGAAAACTGCTACGCCTTACATGACGTTCTAATTAGAAAAAACCGACCGCTGAAAAAAAAAAAAAAAAATTAAACTTCTCCACTAAGAGGTCATGTGACATCGTTTTTATGAAAATAAAGGTTATGTGATTGTGCCTTCGGCACACCATTAATGGGTCATATCTTAAACAAAACTATACTAATTTAGTTTTTCAAACCCGCACAATTTTCTTAAAATGAGTAAGTTCGTAGCTAGTCACGTGACCAGTGCTCTCCCCCCCTTGGGCGGAGCACTTAGTCCCCAGGGCTCTCCCCCCCTTGGGCGGAGCACTTAGTCCCCAGGGCTCTCCCCCCC